CTATGAGACAAGCACTCTACCACTGAGCTATAATTCCAATCTACTTTTATTTTCACATAAATTGCCCATCCTAGACTTGAACTTGAATCTTCCTGCCTTAGTCTCTCAAGTAGCTGAGCTTAAAAGCCTGGTTAACACCAGGTCAAGCCACTGGTGATTTTAAAGTTCTAGTATATGTCTTGCTATGCAGAACAGGGATTAGCAAACTAGACATTTGAATCCTTGGTTTGTCATGTTCCTTTCATTAAGAAAAAGTATGGGTATTAAATCACTGGTGTGCTGAATGGTTTATAAACAAAGTTTTATCATAATATACTGTTCTAGAACAATTTGGTCCTACTGTATGAAAACCTTCCCAAGATATTGTGAGACCTATGAAAGAGAGACAGATAGGGGCTAGAAAGATGGCTCAGTAGTTAAAACCACTTGTTGTTCTTGCAGAAGTCCCTGATTTGATTCCCAGCCCCCACATGGTGGTTAACAAACATCCATAATCAGTTCCAGGGGATCCAACAGAAATACACATGGTGCACATAAATGCACACAGGCAAAACAGTCATATACATAAAATAAAATAAATAAATCTTAATTTTATTAGGAGAAGCAGACAAATCTATGGCTGCACAGAATGTAATTTGTTGAGAGATTTACTAATATAAGTGTGGTCACAGGTTGTAACAAGACCAATTGGAGACCTACTATTTGAGTCAGAAAGGAGTATATATCTAATGACTTCATCCTACATATACCTGTTTATTTTAATTTAATATCAAAGAATAAGGAACATCCCTGGAGCCAGATTGTGATAGTTTGATGTAAATGACCCCTCTAAGATCACAGGGAGTGGCACTATTAGGAGATATGGCTTGTTGAATTAGCTGTGGCCTTGATGGAGGACGTGTGTCACTGTGGGGGTAGGCTTTGAGGTCTCCTATACTTAAGCTACACCTAGTTCAGTTTACTTCCTGTTGCCTGCCAATCAAGATGTAGTACTCTCAGCTCCTTCTCCAGCACCATGTCTGCCTGCATGTCACCATGTCCTGCCACGATGATAGTGAACTAAACCTCCGAAGCTGTAAGCCAGCCCCAACAAAATGTTTTCCTTTTATAAGAGTTGCCATGGTCATGGTGTCTCCTCATAGCAACAGAAACTAACTAAGACAAAGGGTCTGTTTTACTTATTTCTGGTATATTGGAAAACTATGTGAAGGAAATAGACCAGGGTTACTTAGTGTCAACCATGGAGGTGACAATTGAGGATCATAGCAATCACATCAAGTTGAATCCCTGTACCCTTCTTCCAATTTTGTTTCTTTGTTTGACACAGCATCTCAATATGTAGCTTACTCTGGCTTTGAACTCAGTGTCCCCTTACCTTAGCAACAACAAATGATGCTGGGATCACAAACATTTCTAAAGTCCTCGGCATAGCCCTTTCTTTTACCTAATACTTGGCAGACGAAGAGCATGACAGGGCGTACAGGACATGGCACTCTCCTCTAGTACTTGAGCACTCCAATCTCTTATGAGAGGTCAGGAATCCCTACCAGAAGCAATCAACCTTCTCTAAGCTAGGATTTCTTTCTACAATACAAAGTAACACATCAGTCTGAAAACTCTGGTTTGTTTTCATCCTTAGTCATTTTGTCTTCTTTGAAAAGCATTGTAGACTATTTCAGAATCAACAGAACTTTGGGTGGTTGCATATAATGCCATACAAACAGTAACAAGATACCAGCAACAATAACACATAGTTGCTAGAAGCTAGTGGCCACCAAAATATAGAACTGGTAGGTAGTACAGAGTCACCAAGTGTAGGCCATAAGAAGAGGATTCAACTTATGTGTTACAGAAATAATCTAACCCTAACCAACAGTAAATGTTTGAAAAGTACACACCATACTGTATGGATGTATTGTAACCTAAATGACAATGATTAAGAAAGGCCCACTTTTAGGATGAGATCTACATGAGCAGACTGGGTGTGTGGGGGGGTGGCAATTTGCGAGGAGTGGGGCATGAGAACATAGGGAAATGGGAGGGTCAAGCTGGAATAGGAACAGAGTGGGAGGGCAGGGAGGAAGATCCCATGATAGATGAGGACATCATGGGAACAGGAAGAGGCAGGGTGCCAGGGAGGCTCTCAGGAATCCACAAGGATGACCCCACCTTGGTCTGCTGGCAGTGGTCCAGAGGGTGCCTGGAGTGGTCTACTCTGGTGAATACCCTAACAGTCATTGTAGACACTTTGTCCAGTGACTGATGGAGGCAGATATAGAGATCCACGGCCAGGCACCAGACTGAGCTCTGGGAATCTAACTGATGAGAGAGAGGAGGGATTCTGCAGGCGAGGGACGTTGAGATCATGATAGGAGGATGTGCAGAGATAACCGGCCACACTAGTGGAAGCCCATGAACTGTGGTCTGGTGGCTGTGGAGCCCACATGGGACTGGACTAGGCCCTCTGGATACGGAAGACGTTGTTTGGCTCGAACTGTTTGGGGGGCACCCAGACAGGGGGATTGGGATCTGTCCCTGGTGCATGGGCAGGCTTTTGGGAATCCAGTGCCTGTGGTGTGACGACTTGCACAGCCTTGGTGCAGTGGGAAGGGGCTCAGTGTGCTGGGCTCTGTTGACTCCACATGGGAGACCTCGATTTGGGGGATGTGGGGATGTGGGGTGGCTTGGGAAAGAGGGCTGGGGAGTGGGAGGAGGAAGGAGGGGGGATCTGTGGATGGTATGTGGAGTGGGTAGGAAATTTCTTAATAAAGAAAAAAGAAAAAAAAAAGGAAGGCCCACTTTTAGAGAACTTACACTTTTGGAGGAGGGGATGAGGGGTGGGTCGAGGGGGGAGTTAGAGGGAATATGGAGGGGGATTGGGAGGAGGGATGAGGGGGGAATCTGTGGTTAGTATATAAAATGAATAAAAAAATTGAGAAGAAAGGCCCATTTTTAATAGGAATATGAACAGTAATGAACAAAAAGAAAAAAAAAAAACGACCAATAAATATACAAAAAAAGATTGCTGTTTCCCAGCCCCCAAAAATGCATGTTAAAACTGGTGGTTACTTAATAAACCACAGAATTATAAAATTAATGTTTAATATTGGCAAAGTTGTAAGAGGAACAGGACTTCCTAGGTTGCTGGTGAATGAAGCATAAATAGCAAGGATACACTTCATAGGTCCACCTCCTAAATACGTATCTACCATGTTTTAAGATAACCCACATGGAAATGTATGACTCTCTCAGTAAAATATGCTTACTTAAGTATTATTTGTAATTGTGAATGGCTAGAAACAGCTTTAAATGTCTACAGTGTAAGACAGATTTCTCACATCTTAAAATACCAGGCATAGTACATATAAAAGATTTTTGTATTTTTTAAACCCAGTTTACATACACTATTTGGAGAATGACTGCATATGTAAAATATATATTTGCATTGAAACAAGACTTCAAAGCAAAGACATTTCCACGTTCTGTAGTGGAATCACTGGGTGAGGGGATTAAGGATAGTTTTAATTTAAAAAAATTAATTTGAGCTATCTCCTCACCCCATCTAAGACTTTATTTTTTAAAGGGGTGTGTGTAAATAATTAAGTAGATCCTGAATCTCTTTGGACATCCAGAGATGTCTACCAATGATTTGACAGCTAAGTTGCTCTAGCAGAAACTAACTAAAACCTCTAGTGACCAAGGAAAAGGAAAGATGGATAGCTCAAAGTGGACATAAAATGCCAGCTTCTTCCTATGGCTCCTCAAACATGACCATCACATACATAAACACACACATACACATGTACTTACACACACACACACACACACACACACACACACACACACACACACAGACACACAAAAAATCTAAAGTAGTAAAGAGCCATACAAAAGTATTCTAAAAGGCCACATAAATTATTACCTTCCCCATCCTCCAGCATCCAAAGTCAGACTTTGGGGGAGTGGCCAGTCTGTGCAAAGCTCGAAGTAGCTAATAGGCATTTACTAAGTCATTTGTCACTACAGCTGGGTAGCAGAAACCTTCTACAACCCATTTGGTTAACGCATACTTGTGATTATTTCCAGAACTTTGAAAAAAATGCCTTTGTGCATGCTTGAATGAATGAGAATGCCCCTGCAAAGTTTCTCCTTAAGATAGAGGTAGGTATGTATGTGCGTATATGTATGCACAAGAATGGTTTTTTTTTCTACTATATATAATAAAGTATATAGACATGTCCCCTTTTCTACCACAAATGCAATATTTTCCCATGGCATCATCTATATCTATATCTATCTACCTACCTACCTATCTATCTATACTTTGCCTAGAAAATATGCCAACCATTCATCAAATTTGTACCAGTATTTTTATGTTTAAAATTATTTTTCATTCATTTTATAAATGCAGTTGGTAGGCAGCAAGTTGTTTAGTTATAATGCTACCAGATTTCAGAAAACCTTTCCTTAATTTGCCTTTTCTTTTCCTTTTTTTTTTTTGCCTCTGCACTGGCATAATCAATGCCTAAATGTGTGATTCAAGATGACACCTACTCCCATGAGTCAGTGGATACAGACTCAGATAGTGTGTGTATGTGTGTACAGAGATAGCTATGCAGCAATTTCCCTGTGAAAATGGCATTCCTTCCACACATATGAAAGCTTCCTTGCCTGTAGCAAAGGCAATTCATCATTTAGCAACATGACCAAAAACAATAACCTGCATTTTTAATCACAATGTAAGAGGCAGAAAAAGAAAACACAAGTACATGTATAATAATACATTTAAAGAAAGAACACTATCATAATCAAAATAAGTAACAAATTACAAGAACTAAAAATGTTAAAAGCCATGGAGATTCCATTTTCTCCTTGTAGGTTTTTTTTTTCACTGCAGTTAGCAAGCTGTGTGAATGTACTCATGGACCGATCGCATGACCAAGCATGCACACCTGTTTTTTACCCACCCACTCACCCCCATTTGGATGTGACTAACTCACCATTTTCTTTCAGTGTCCACACTCAGTGTCTCAGGAGTGAGAGTGCCTGCATCTTATAGCTACTGAAAAAGAAACGGCAATGCAGACAGGTCTTCACAGATTCCGGCATCCTAGTGCCAGCATACTCAGGTCACCCATGTGCTTCTCACACAGAGCAATTTTTCTACACAGCAAGGGCTACCAGTCCCACCAGTAGGGACGACAATTTTCAGTTCCAACGTGCTTTCAGCTAGCTGTAAAAATCAAGGCTGCAAAAACTGCATGTATCCTTAGACATGCATGCAGTATGGACAAACATGTCCCCTCTCACATGTGTGCATGGTTGCAGAGCTCCAGTCAGAATCTGCACCCTGATTTGCATGATTTTTCATCTTTAGAAAGAACAATAAACAATGAGAATGTTTGCAGATCTTGCCAGATCAGACCCACGCCATTGTGAGCTGACAAACAACCTGCCCTTTAAGACAGTAGAACAAAAGAAGCATTGGGAATTACACCACCCCCCTCACAAATAGCACAAGTGATTTTTAAAAGAGTTCCCTTCGGGGATAAGATGCCCTGAGAAGGAGCGCTAGAGTCTCTTACCTGCATCCCTGCTCGCTGCTGTAGACTGTGGCTCACTCTGTCTGCAAAGGCAGCTAAGTGCTTCAGGGACCCACAGCCCGCCTCTGCCACCGCAGAATCCAGCTGCCTACAGCATCGAGGAGTCACGAAGGCATGCTGGCAACAGCTGGAATATCAGAGCCTCCTGCCTTATGATGTACAAGTTTATGCAGGCTCTGTCAACTCAAGAACCCAGTATATCTGACCTCGGGGAATGTTCCTAACACTTCCCATGATTAAGCTGTAAGAGGCTTCTCCTTTTAAAATCCCTATCAGGCATGGGGGGAGGTCCTTCTTTTCCTATTTTTTAAAAATGAAAAATACAGAAGAATCTACTGCAAGGATATCATTCATGAATTCTACTTAAGAACTCTCAGCAGCAATGCTATCACAGGCAATACATGGTCTAACGCTATAACCACAATGCAGTTAAAGATGACATTCAATAGCCTATTTTATGTCTGTGGATATTCTTACACTGATTACACACTCATTAGGAATGTAATCCATCAACTTACAAACCAAGTGTTTCAGAACTTTTCCTGTGTGCAAGGGCACTGGGGCAAGAAGACAAAGCAAACAGGCTGACCCCGACTCACCCAATTCATCACATCACAATGACTTGCATTTAAAGACCCTGTGCCCCACCTCCTCTCTGAGCACAGCCCCCGAATCTCAGTGCCATGGTCCTGAACAGAAATTTCTTCCCTCACAGCTCCTTCCCACCTAGACAGCCCCCATTCTCTGAGTCCTGAGTTTAGCCACCATAGCTTTCTCTTTCCAGCTTCTTTCCCATAAAGCTCTTCTCAATACACAGTAATTATTTCAGACTCCTGCTCATTTCACCAAATAACACATTATTATTCAGCCTCCAATGTAGTACACTGCTAATATGTTATTATATCCATTAAGCATTTACTTTTTTATCAGCATATATTCACTTTTACAGCATTATGGGTTTCATTCTTGTATTTTCATACATTTAAATCACAGTTTGCTCATACTCACACTCTATTACCTTCCTTTGCCTCCTTCTTATCCATCCTCTTCCCAAATACTAACCATTCTACTTCTTTCATGTCATATGCATATACATGTATATGTTTAATCTAGATTCTACATGAGAGAAAACATGTTTGTTTTTTCTGATTTAACTTATTGTACTTAACAAAATGATCTCCAGTTTCATCTTTTAACTATGTGGAGTGGCCTTAATAATTTCACCAATAATCTACTTCCCTACAAATGGCATAATTTCATTTTTCTTTGTAGCCAAATAAAAAACACACACAGACACACTCACATCCTACCCTACAATTTTTCTTACTATTCTGTTGATGGGACACCCAGGCCAATTTAATAACTTGGCTATTGTGAACAGTGCTTCAGTGGACATTGATGTGTACGTGTCTCTGGGGTATACTGACCTGGATTCTACTAAACACTTAAGTCTGAGAGAAAGCATTATGAGGGGTTATTAAATCTGGGTAGCCTGATACAAACACAGTGAGGAATTGAACATGTATTTTTGATTGTAAAGCCCATACACTTTCCAGTGTTTTTTCATGTTGATATAGTATTTTATCAAATATACAGCGATGTCACCTCCCTGCCACCCCCATCCCTACCTTCCTCTCCAAGGGGGGCATGTACATGCTAAGCAAGAATTATACCAATTGAGTATATTTCTAACCACAAACACTTCATGTTTAAAAAGAAAAAAATAATTATAGAAAATTTAAATAAAAGGAAGGAGTTTCCAGTTTCCTCTATTATTAAGCCTGAGATTTGTATGGTATAGTGTACTATCATTTGAATCTTAAAGTATCTCTCATAGTCTTATGTTTTAAAGGTTTGGTCCCCTGAAGGCCACTACTGTGAAATCGAAGAACCTTCAGTTGGTAGAGTCAAGAGGGAGGAAGTTAGGTCACTAAGAATATATACTTGAAGGGGACTGTAGTTTATCAGTTCCTCCTTCCTCCCTCCCCCTCTGCTTCTCTGCTACCAAGAGATAAATGGTTTCTTCTACCATGTGTTCCTTCTATGATGTGGTGCTTCATCACAGGCCTAAAAGTAAACTAAAACCATAAGCCAAAACAACTTTTTTCCTTTATAAGTTGATCATCTCATATTTTGTTGTAGTGATGGAAAACAGTCTAATATAATTTACTCCAGCTAATGAATCAATATTGGTACATTTTGAGTCTGATGTACTACCTACTGCACTAACAAGGCACTTCAACATTAGTACATTAATATTAACTAAAGGTCATATATCATTTTAATATTATTATATTTTTAATTTTTATACTTTTATAAATTATTTTATATCTTACTAATTTTTATATATTATTTATTGTTCCTTTCCTGGCCTAGGATCCCAGCCAAGTACCACACTATATTCAGTGGTTACATTTTCTTAAGCCTCTTTCATTGTGACTACTACAAAACTGAAAGCTTGTCCCTCCCCTCAAATGTATATGTTAAAAGCACAATCATGTCACACATGGAGATATATTCCTATAATCTCAGAATTCAGGATGAAGATGTTGTGTAGCAGTTTATTAGGCAAAAACTTTTATCTTGGAGGGAAACACTTTAAGACACAGAATGGAAAAAGGGAGGCGAAACAACAAGATGTTCTAAGGGGAAGTAAAACACTCCATCCTGTAGGGAAGCTTGTTAAAACAGGATGTAAAAAATTCATTAGCTTCAGAAAGTCCCAGGAACTGACCACACTCATGGGCTCTTCCTTCCCCAAGACTATATAAGCAGTAAAGACTGCTGTGAAGACTCAGACAAGCACAGCCACCTGGAAAAAGCAGAAAGCAATCCAGCTGCCTAGAAAACTCAGACAAATTGAGCTTCCTAGAAGAGGCTTATACTAACAGAACTAGCTTGCAAGGACACTTTCCAACTTGTTGCCTATAAGTTGTATAGTGTGCTCCCAATTTCCAGCTTTTATGAGCTGTTCCTCATGCTGGGGTGGGCTTTGGCGATGCAGCTGTTTTTGAGTCCTTTCTGCTCCTATAAATAACTTCTCATCCATATTCCTGTAATTCCTAAAAAACTCACTGGTTCACCAAGTTGGACTTTGGCACTAGCTGTACTTTGGTCTGTATCCCTATCTGGGATGAGTAGACATTTGTTCACAACTCTCAAGGAACAGTGTTACTTACATAGCAGAGTGTGAAGCAGGAAGATAATGAGTTCATAGATAAGCTGAGCTATAGTCAAGCCCTTTCTCAAAAACCAACCAACCAACTGACCTTAACCTTAACCTCATAAGAACTAGGAGGTGGAGTATTTGGGGGATAAATAGAGTTTATTTCACTAGGGGATTAGTGTCTTTATGTGGGGGCACAGAGAAAAAAATGTTCATCTTTGGGCCAGAAAATGAGACCTCAGCAGACACCAAATCTGCTAGTGCCTTAACCTTGGACTTCAGCATCCAGAATGGTTAGAAATACTTGGTAGTATCAGGCATGGTGGTAAACACCTTTAATTGTGGCACCCAGGAGGATCTCTGTGAGTGAGGCCAGCATGGTCTACACAGTGAGCTCCAGGCCAGCCAGGCCTACATAGTGAAACCATGTTTCAAACAACAACATAAATGCCTGGTAGTAGAACCCTTTGGAGTCAGTGTGTGACTAGAAGTAGGTCACTGGGGTGTGTATCCTTGAAGGAGCTATCTGTCCTAAGATCACCTTCCCTTTTGGCTTCTTGGATGCTAGGAGGTGAGCAGTTTCATCATCTAGTCTAAGATATTTTGTTCCAGCAGCCTGAATAGAGTAGGATAGATAGATAATTAGACTTCCCTTTACTTTGGTGTTCTCGACACTTCTGAGGAGAATTTTTCAGGCATCTGTAACACATTCCTCATTTGATTTTCCCCTTTTTATAATTAGATTGGGTCTATGAATTTAGGATACAGACTACACAGGTGGAGTACCATTTGTCATCATCACACAAAGGGTATATATTGCTATCATGTCTTATCTCTATAGCATCAATCCAATCACATGGTGCATCTGATGAATGTGAATGGTGAATGTAAGCTTTCTCCATTCCCTTCAGCCTACATTCTTCTGTAGGATGTTACCATCACTGAAGGCCCACAGTTATGCTCCACCTCCTTAAGGGTAGTCATACTCAACTTTCCCATTTCTGCAACAAAATATCTGAGAAAAACAACTTAAAGGATGAAGGATTTATTTTGGTTCATGGTTTCAAATATTCAATCCAAGATTACCTGATTTCATTGTGTTGAGCCTGAGTGAGGCAAGGTATCACAGTGGTCAACTACCTGAGTGAGGTAAAAATATCACAGCATCTCTAGTAAACACAGTGATATCACTACATAGCATTGAGGAAGCAGAAAGGACGATGAGGGCTTAGTATAAAATAGCCAAGGGCACACTCAGGTGACCCACTTCCTCCATTCACACCCCAGCTCCAAAAGGTTCTACCACCTCCCAGCTCTCCATTCAATTGGCCAGAATTTTTATGATCCAGTCACTTCTGGACAAAAGTCATCAGTTTGCTACCAAGCCTTTAGCACAGGGACTTTTTGCAACACTTTAGATCAAAACCATAATAGCAGAGTGTACCTGAACCTTGTGTGCATGATAGACTTATTTATTGCCCATGTATTAATTTATTCATTCATTTTTATAAATACTATAAATTTATTCTATATTTTGACTGATATCTACCACTACTTTATTTTGTTGCTTCAAGTGTTCCAGCTTTGTTCACTATAGGCTTAAGAGGCCTATATATAAATAAATGACT